CCATCTACCTTTGTACTTCAGGTCCCATCGGTTTTACCACTGGTGCAGGAGATGGTTTCTCAATTCCGCTTTGATATTGTCTAATTGTCTTTTTGACAGGGTTTGTTTTCTGCTGTCGTCCTTGGGTACATTGACCTCCTTTCCCCGTCCTGACTCTTTAGTTAGCGCATCTGCCGACAGCGGGGCGACATACAGCATTTTTGAGTGCACTACGGCGGAAATTAACCTCCTTTTGCTTTCACTGGGACCTCCTGAGTTCAGCATTAGTCTGGCGAGATTTCATCCAGTCTTTGCGGCTTTTCCTGCTGATTTTATAATATGGGGTCCGAAGCTCAGTCGTGAATCAATTTCCACCCCAAGGTATGTAATATCCATTCAATAAGTTCCTGTCCCAGTCCGATCTCTGCGGAATGCTCTGCGGCTTGTAATCAACACGGCCTCCGTCTTGTCAACAGCCATCTGGAGGTTTCTTTGGTCCAACCATCTTTTAACCCTGCGTTGTGTTTCGTTGGTCTTCATTTCCAGTAGTTCCGTGTTGGCATATGATCAGTGTGTCGTCGGCGTAGCTTATGAGTCTGGAGTTCTTTGGGAGTTCGATATTCAGCAGGTCGTCATATATGGTATTCCACAGGAAGGGGCCCAATCTTGATCCCTGTGGAACACCGCAGTCTTCCTCAATCCTACACCAGTTAGTGTAGATTATTTTCCTCACTGAGGTAGTCCTCCAGGATCCTCACAAGGTGTTCAGGGATCTTCCTAGCTAGTAGGGCTTGCATGATGTCTTTCCAGCTGGCAGAATTAAAGGCATTTCTGCAAGGCAGTCGCAACCAAGGCACAAAAACTCTTATTCCTTTTTGCTTGTTCTGCATGGTGGACTACTTGTGAGATCGCGTCTATTGTCGAGAGACTCTTTCTAAATCCAAACTATCTCGTTGAAAATTGGACATGTCTCTTTATTCGTAGAAGGAACAAACCCTCCAGTAATTTGCTCATCGTATCCAGCAGGCACAAAGGTCTGAAGGATGACGTCCGATCGATTGGCTTGTTACCTTTCCGCATGAGAATTAGCTTCTGATGTTTCCAACCCTTATAGAATTTACCTTGTTCAATACACTGGTTAAAGGCTTTCAAAAGGCATTCTGGGTATTCTTTTATAACTATCAGGATCGCGTTCGCAATTCCGTCAAGCCCCGGTGCAGTTCCAATCTTGGTCTTCTTCATCGTCTGGACTAGTTCGTCCTTCGTGAAGCGGTTGGCTTCGAAGAGGTAGTCAAAAGGTCTGCTCATTACCTAGCATTCTCTGCTGGGGAAAAGGTCTTGGATAATTGCCTTCACCCATTCGGGGTCCTCTAGCCCCGCGGTTGTTTGAGATTTTTAATTTGCTCATAACAATCTTGTAGGCTTTTCCTCAGGGGTCGTTGTTCACATCGTTTAATGGGGCCTTCCAGCATTTTGTTTTGCTTATTTTAATCTCCGATTTTAGTCTTTTGCGGACCGTCTTGTAATTTTTCCTCAGCAGAATGCCCGTTTTAGCTCTTGTTGCAAGTTAGCTTTAACACATGCTTGACGAAATTCTGCAATGGTCGCTGTCCACCAATACACCTGATTTTTCCCCTTTGGGCTCCTACGTTTGGGCATTGAGATGTCACGTGTATTTTTAACGGTTTCGCACGTTTCCCGTACTACCTCTTCGAAGGACTCTGCACTTTTCCTATTACTCCACCCCATGAACTCCAGTAATTTAGCTTCGTCAAGGAATTTTATGGCATCAGCTTCTTTCAGCTTTTTGGTGTTCCAAGATGGACCGATGTTTGGCTGATTCCTTCTTCTAGCTCCGTTTCCAGCGAATGAAGTGAAGAATTCGATGTAGCGGTGATCGCTAAGTGTTTCAGCGTCGAGAACCTGCCAATCCAGGACATTCTTGGCGATTCTTGGCTTTCCTATTGTTAAGTCTATTATCGAAGAAGCTGTGCCCCTTTGAAATGTACATGTGCTCCCTGTGTTTAGGACTACCAGGTCCTTCCTAGCCAGGAATTCGCAAACAATATCGCCTCTGCGACCAGTTCTGCTTTCGCCCCATTCCGGGGACTTGTTAAAGTCTCCAGTCAATATTATTTCACCTGGGGCTGAGTTCATGCTTGCCTCCAGTTCGATTTGCTTCTTAAATTTCTCTATTCGGTCGTTTGGGGAGAAATAGCAACTATATATTCTAAGGCTGTCCATTTCTACCCATACAAAACCTTGGTTTGTAACTTTAAATGTAGACTCTTATTTTGGAGTTAAGTATTACTCGTCTGGTCGTGTCCTGGTAGAGGGATATGTCGTCAATATCATGCTGCTCCCTGACCAGTAAGACATCCACCTGTCTTTCCCTTGCCGTTTGAATGAGAAGTTCTTGGGAGGTCTTTCCTTTGCCTAAATTAATTTGAAGGAACCTAGGCATTTTTTGTTTTACCGAGTTTCCTTAGTTCTGCAGTGAGGGAAGGGCTACCCAGCTTATGATTGTCTTCTAGGTTTTGGTCTTTGCAGACAATACATTGAACTGGCCCTTTGTAGTCCTTGGCCAAGTGTCCCTTTTTGCCACACTACTTCACTTCTGTCTGGGCCCTTGCAAGAGGTGGAGATATGGCCAAAGCCTAGACACGTAAAGCATCTGCTGACCTGGTGCTTCATCCTAACGTGGCAAGAAAGCCAGCCAATCTCAAAATTCTCTGCTTTGAGTAGAATTTCTGCCTGGCGCAAAGGGAGCTGTGCAGTCGCTACCTGTTTGCCTCCGTACACCTTGTACAGTCTCCAGGTCGCCGGGGGGAAGTACCCCGTAAAGCGTGTGACAGCATCTCTTACCTCATCTAGGGTAACAGATTCATCGATGTTCATTAATTCAATTAAGGTTTTTGTGTTAAACGTGTTGATATTTACCCTGTCTTCTATTGCACGGGTGATTGCTTCATTTACGGAAGTGGGGTCACAATATTTCTCCAAGACTATGAGGAGTTCATTTTTACGTGTCCTCCTGATCATCTGGATATTAGCGTTGTGTTGCTTCGGGTCAACCGCTTCCTTCATTTTTAATATTTCGGCTTATGATTTCCCTTCGTTGGCTGTCAGTTTGATGGCCTGGTTGGTGGGTCTTCTGTTCCTTGCCTTGGGGGTTTGATTACCTTCTTTGGTGGACCTCTCCTTCTCCGTCTTTCTGTGTTCCACTTTCTGCCAGTTCTCATCGGGGTTTTGGTTTGGTTTTTCAGTAACCAGCTCTATGACTTCATCCTGCTTGTCTTTCTTGTCTTGAAGTGGACTTGGAGCTTGTCTCTTCTTCTGGGACTGTGCCGTTTTCACCGACGTCTCGTTTATCTGTTTGCCGAGTTTGGTATTCTCGACCTTTTTGTCATTCTCTAGGAGGGTTATTTTCTCATACATCCCCTTTTGGTCTTTAATGTTTTCTCACCTATTCTTTAGAGCATCCACCTCTTCTAGAGCTATAACTCGGTTGTTAGAGCCAAGGTGTCCTTCACTGTAACTCGGTTGTTTTTCTGGATGTTGCTGCTGATAATTAATTGACTCTGTAGACGGGCAATCTCCGAATCGTCTTCCATCAACTTTTGAGTCATCACCCAGTTATCTGATGTCCAGCCTCTCGCATTTCTATCCCCTGCCAACGTGGGCTCTTCTTGGACCAGGGTTGCCTTGTCTCCTGTGGGTACACCCACAGGAGACGTCGTGGGGGTACGTGGAGGTGATCTCCGCAGTTTTGACTTTCCAGAAAAGGGGTTAAAGCCTGCTTGCTCTATGCTTTCGCGTGTATAGTATTCCAGAGACGCCAAGCGGTCCACGTCTCTGATATTGCAGTCGCTGGTTGACGACCTCCGGGGGCCTGCTTGCCCACCCCCGGCGGCCGGTACTGGGGCTCCGATCCCGTGCACCGTAACGGTTGATCCTGAGGGACCTTCCATCGTGGGTTTCTTTTCGGGGTCACCTTCCCCTAGCGTTTTAATGCTGCCGCCAGCGTCTGGATTTGGCCCACGGGTGGTATTTTATTTCCCACCTTCCCTCCAGCGTGGCCGGTAAGAGCATTCCCCGATCCGCCACCTGGTGACGCGTCCGATAGACCAGCTACTCCCATGGACTTTATTATTATTATTATTATTATTATTATTATTATTATTATTATTATTATTATTATTATTATATTATTATTATTATGTTATTTGTTAAGAATAGAAGTCTTTACCTTGCTGTTTGAACTGTGTCTACCACGTTGATTGTTTCGTTTTCATCAAACTTTCTGCCGCTCAACAAGTCTGAATGAGCTCAACAAATGAAAATTGTATGTGGCAAGCTCTAGGCTTTAAGGAGGATCTGACGACACCTTCTTTTCCAACTCTAGCATTTCTCCTTTTGTCTGAGCATTGTGGGGGAGCATACATTCAAGAGAATCACACCTTTTGACAGAGCATGAATAAATGTAGACTTCCATCAGTAATATTACCTGACTTGCTTATCCTCGAAAATGACATCATTGATGCAATTTTGAAGAGCAATATTCAAAATGAATGTTCCAGTGACACAAAGATTATTGTCAGTTGTTCTGCCTGAGTTAAACTGTTCTAACACACTTTTACATATAAAAACGGTGTAATCTCTTTAACATGTTCAGTATTCTACAGTAAATGTCTGCTGTTTTCACACCTTCAGATAGCAGTATTCGTATTACTGAATATTGCTCTTAAGACATATGTATCAATTGGAACTTACATTTTAAAAAGAACAGTAGAACTTGTTCAGTTAACTGTCTGTTGAATTTCTTTTAAGAATGGGTATTTATATGGTCCATTTTTTAAATTCTTGTACATTTGAATTCATGAATTTAATATGAATTCATGTACAATATTTTGACAAGATTTCATTGTTATCTTTTGGCACTATAAAAATTTTAATCAAACACTTTGTTTTGTTACAAACACGTTTATAAAACTTAAGAATGAATATGAGCATGAATTCACATTAAATTTGTGATGTGACTTTTTTGTGCTTTATCCTTTTGAATAAGAAAAGTAATAAACTGTTCTAAATAAAAATATATCATAAAAATTTAATTCTTGGAAGTTGAAGAAAGTTGAAAGCTTAATCCTCAAAAAATTTCATTATCATTAAATGAATCACTTTCTATCCATATATATTTGTCTTCTTAATTATTGAATGTTTATGTAATTATGATTTTGCATGTGCTAATGAATTTTTTTTTCTTTTCTTTTCAGAAATAACATGTGAAGAAATAGCAAGTCAAATGGTCCAACTTTCACATAGTCCATGTGCACGTATAAGGAATTTAGTTACTATATTCATAGAAGACTATTGCACCAAAGAGCAAGTGCCTAGTATAAATACCTCTGAATATTGTGTGGAATCTCCAAATGCAGCGGATTAGTATAATGAAGATTAACTTACCACTTGTGTCTCAAAACAATGTTTTATCTTGCAGATATCATTCAAAGTGTAACCTTGTAGATGGTATGTCAGTTCAAGTAAAAAGAAAAATTACATTAGAGGATGTGGAAACATTTTGTAAAGTGACAGGAGACTATAATCCAATTCATAAAAATATTGTCCATGGTGCTTTATTAAATGGCCTTGTTTCTGGTGTCATGGGAACAAAGCTCCCTGGTCCAGGCACTGTAGTTATATCACAAAAATTCGAATTTCCAAACCCATGTTATGTTGGCTCGTGTGTCAATATAACAGTTTGTCTTCTAAGTGTTAGAAAAATTATTACTTGCAAGTATACTTGTGCTTTGAATGATCAAAAAATAGTCCTGGATGGTGAGGCAAAATTAATTCTTACAAAGGTATCTGTTAACACGTGAGGTTGAAAAGAATTTAGTTAACTAACCAAAGGTCAATTCTGAAACAAGCACGTTTCTGTATTATAAAATATTGCTGTTTTATTTTTTGTGTTAAACATGACTGACAGAATTTTTTGTTTTGAATCTTGTGAAGTGAGAAGAAAGTCTAGTGTATAAAACAACTTGTGAATGATTTAATAAACCATTGGGTTGTGTAAATAGATTTGTGTACTTGTTGTGAAGGTTCTTCACATCTGATGACAATGAAATCTGTCAGAATTTTTATGTTGTTGATGTAATTATTATTATTATTATTATTATTATTATTATTATTATTATTATTATTATTATTATTATTATGTTGGAAGATACTTTGGCCCCCAGAAGTGTTCTAATTATCTGTAGTATTTTAAGGTCGTTAGAGCAAGATATTCCCTAGTAGATAGAGCGTCCATATTACGTTCAAAAATAATTATTTGCGAGATAAGTGGGTATTGTGGGACCTACATGAACCAAATAGGGACTTTTAATCTAGGTTTTATTTAATTAATTTAGTTTAATAGATGTAAAATAAAAATATTTTAATACCACATAAAGAGCTACCGTTGACTAGTTTCTTAACTAGTGTCAACAGATCGCGTAGCCACGGAATGAAAAATTGAAGCATAAGATTGAACATACAAAAGCACTATTACACAATTAGCAAGAGCAAAAGCGTAAAACGTAACATTATAGACATATCTATAAGTTTTTGTGCAGTAATCGCTAATAATGACAAAAATTTCAATGTTTTGAGTGAAGCGAAAAGTCTTTAATAAATTGGGCAACACCATAATGTCCTTGAGATTGGCATGCTTCTTTAAAGTTGCATTGTTTGAATTTGAATACTGTTTGATGCCTGGACGTACACTTTGAATACTGTTTGATGCCTGGATGTAACACGGTAAATATACCAATTGAGCGAATTGGTGGAAGGTTTATTTCCAAAGGGGAATTTGCGAGATAACGAAATAATTCCCCCAATATCACGAGAACAGTTGATTCTTCGAGATGCTTGCTACCAATAGAAAAGTTTTTAAAAGCATGTTCAACGGTTAATTTTCTCACAATTTTAAATTTTTAGGTCAGATCTCTCAGGTCACCATGTTAAAACACCAAACTTTACGGTCTCGCGCAAAAACTGGGCGGTGAAATCGATTCAAACTCTACCAGAATATAGAAGAACTTCTCATCTTTCGATTAATACAATAAAAAAGGCATGTTAAACATAACACTTATCTCGCTCTAACCACCTTAAATAAAATTCCATGGCAGGAGAAAATTCTTGTGGCAGCAGATGTGGAGGGGTTGACAAAATATTTTTACTGATACCCCAGATATGGCAAATGAAGATCATATATTACTTCTAGAAAATATATATCCAACAAATGTTTGCGTTTCAACAAATGTTTCGCATTTTTGCAATTGGGCACCCAGCACCTTCTCGAAGCCATAAGTTCAGACTTTCAACGTAGCAGAAAATCACAAAATTTCTCGAATTCAATGGCCGCTAATTCCCGTTAACGGCACCAAGAACGCACAAACGAAACGCCGGTTCGGTCGTCGAAGGAGTCCAACGGTAATCAACCGATGCGAACGCGGAAAATTTTCCAAATGCCAATAACCTGTATCTGGGCGCCGGCGTCGAGACATCAACAGGGGTGGGCGCCCTGGGTCGGAGGTTGCATTTACTAACTAATTATTAAAAAATACACATTTTCCTAGTAAAATCACCCGACCAAAACGACGGGGACACGTTTATTGTTCGTGTTGATCTTCTACATTCGACGGGTAATTGAATACATGGACTTACAGTGATGTGATGGCTGGAATTTAGATACTTCACTCCGAAAGGATTACACACTCAACTGGCAGTCTGTGGCAACAGATGGCCCGCCGAATAGCCATGGCCTTCTCCGGAAGCCGGCAGTAATCTGCGCCTGGTTGAGTCGGAGACAGCCCCGAGTCAAACGTCGCCTGGACCGCGTAGTGTTTAGCAGCCGAGAAACAATGCTGCACACTCCCTCGTGATGGTTCTTGTCAACATTCGGAATACGTTCCGATGCTGGAGTTGTCGAAAATACTGGCTCGAGATTATTACCAGTTTCTCGTGCGGCGGTAGTCGCCGTTAAAATTTCAAAAAAATATCCGAGCCGACCGTTCACTTCGACAGTCTATTTCTATCTGTCCAGACCTTCCAGCGCCCGTTTGTCTCTGCGATTTCCATCCCCACCCCTCTCGCAAGATGCCCGACCTATCCCGTCGCAAAACTTAACGGAAAGTTACATGCGAAGTTTTCCATAGGCCGGTCTTTATTTACAGTAGGCTGCTGTCGCCTCTTAATGCAGCAGTTCTGCCCGTCCATCACCCACTGTTACGCAAAGGGGTGGAAGGCTGCCTTTCGGGGGTGGTTACGAGCAGGGATACCGGCACGTGTGCAGCTGTGTGTGTCTAATGCGCGAAAGAGGCACTCTTTGCCTCGAAGTATTTTAACTCAGCGTGACTCGAGGGTCGCGCTTGTGCGATGAGCCTTGCTCATTGCAATATATATTTTTCTGACGGAGGTGCCGTGCTGAATGAGTGCTCGTAATCAGCTTTGTGATCTCAGGGGGCAGGATCATTAGGACGTGCAATTTACAACTGGCACTGAATGAACACAAAACCAAATGAACAAACAACATTTTTAAATAAATCACAATTAAATGAACTTACCCTTTTGCAACGCTTCGGAAACTACAAACACCCGTTTTAATACTTTAAATGATTAATTCTTTCAAAACAACTGAATTCTAGGTAAAACCGTATACGGTAATTATTTGATTGGCCAGAAACGTTTGTAACATATCAATTTACTTTACTCAATCACCACAAAACAAATGATTTTATTTCTTACATTCAATTAAATTACGGAATACAAAGCCCATTATTGCGGTTTTCACTCGTCACACGTCCGATCACCTCGACGTCTTTTTCAAGGACTGAGTGGTCAATTGCACGGCCTCCTGGAGAGGTGGCATGACGTCACGGCTGACCCCTCCGCGCTTGCCATGAACCGGAAGTCCGGCGGTCAAACGGCTGGCCGCAGATTACAGGTCGCTCTGTTTCGTAACCCTTCTGGCGCGCCTGTGTTGCGAGGACCCGCCTTGCATATATATATATATATATATATATATATATATATATATATATATATATATATATGTGTGTGTGTGTGTGTGTGTGGGTGATGGAAGGAATTATAAGATAAATTCATTGACATAAGAAAACAATCTGGTCACTGGTAAAGAAAAACAACATTTATTCTTGGGCAAAGTCTGTTCCAGGGAAGTTACATTGATAAACAAGAGAGATTGTGAATAAATAAAAAAAATTAGAAAGAACTTACAACTAAAGAAGTGATACATAAAAATTATCCTATAACTACGATTACAAGTTTGTCCTTGTGAGTACGTTTTTGTGCCTCAGCGCGGCACCGCGTTGAAAATTGTCTTTAAGGGTTTATTGGCCCTGATTACGTTGCCTGGGTACCTTCCGTGGCAGATGTGCTGCAGTGGGCCCGTGCGGGCGCGGCGGAGCTTTTAGATGGCCGGGATGGCCTTCCCAGGAATGCGGTTGTGCACGTACCCTCACCAGAGGGGCGTCAGCGGCTGGCGGCGTCTGCGGCGGGTAGTGACTTCAGCGAAGGGTCGTCTGGAGGCTGCTTCGGCGGAGCTTATAGATGGCCGGGGTGTATCGGCTCTCGATCACAGGTGCGGAGCACACAAAATTGTTTCCCGCTGCGTCTGTGATTCTCCTCTATGAAATTTCAGTGAGTGCGAATTTTGCAGCGAATAAGCAGTGGCAAAGATTCGCCAATCCCCCCTTAAGTGCCTTCGCACCTCTCCTCAAGAAACTTCAAGTGAATGCCTGCCTCTCTCCCCAGAGGTGCACCCTCCTCTCTCTGAGAATTCCTCTCGCCAAGTCCCGATTTGTATCTCCGTCAGTGCGAGGTTGATTTTCATTCCCCCACCCTCTATTCCTCGTATGTTTCGAATTCCTTTCTTCACTTTAACGGTCTAGTCACTATTGGTGAAAGGTTATGGCGTCTTGCTTAGATTTCGGCCAATAAGATCCGGCAGTTCATGGAAATTTTCCATTCTCTCTCTCCCTAGAGGTGCTGTCTTTCTCTGTCGTTCGGAATGCATCCGTTGTCGACTAGAAAGTAGGTCACGTCTCTGGAGGGGCTTCCCGGCTAATAATGAATTGTTGCTTTGTACTTCCCCGGTATCGGTGACAAGCGTCGCGAAAACGTTCCGAACGGGGTCGCAGCGGAGCGCCTGACAACTCACTCTTCCGTCCGGCCGTCGGGGTGCCATGAATTGTCGAAGTGTGTCTGGGGGGTCGTGGCTGTTGCAAGATGGGGGGCGTGCGCGTGACGCCGTGGGTCCATCCTACGT